TGGTTCATCCAAGTCCGATTTATTGATCGAATACGGCGGGTTAAATATGGTTCTTAATAAGCTTCATACATATTGCAAAAGTTGAGCTCAGGATTGGTTAGTTACATATCAGCAACTACACCTACTTCTACATTCTTATGCTTATTCTTCTGTTACATTCTGCAGATATTCAGGACTAATCTCACCTCCCTTTCCTCATGTTGCAGCAAGGCCATCCAGCATTCTTGCCTGTCAGCAGTCACTGAATCGGAGACTGCTGACCTCCCTTTCAAGCTTAACCAGCGGCATTAAGTCAGTATGGCCTTTCTCAGCTAACCAACTCTTAATAAAATCCTCCACAGAACTCAGGTAAACCAGTTTTGTGCCTCTCTGTCTCTTGGAATAGACTTAACACTGAATGATAGGAAACATTCAGGTATGGGTGAAGGGAAAAATAAGAATATTGATGCCTGCAAAAAGAGACTTGGAAGTGGCAGAGACATTATAAACAGGGTTTTAATACGATGTGAATTACAAGCACTTGATACAGAGGGGATGATATATTGATTTTCCTCATTCTGAACTATGCCTGTCACTAAGATCAATGGAAGTCACAAACCTATATCAAGGAAATTATAATATGTGGAATTATTTATAGAATGGCTGCTCCAGGTACACATCAATTGCAGCATCATAATGGCCCGACTTATGACTGAGGACAAAGCCATCTATTACATATTGTAAATGAGAAAGTGTGCATTGCCATCATTGCTTCATTTTCCACATTTTTCATAAGTGAAAGGAAGAACTAATAGAAGCATTCTTGTACAGCCTTTTTTTATAAAGAAGCAACAAACATTGTAGAGTTTATCACTAAACGACAACAATTCCACTTACAAACTAAGTCATTAAAAGAACAGCTACAGGCAGTATTTTCCAAAACAGAGTTATGCAATGTACACCAAGGCAAATACGCTGAAACTTTGGGAATCACTTCTGGATTGCTCAAAATTCTGGGCACCCTGAAGAAGCTGAAAAGCAGCAGCACACAGGAGGGCAGCATCTCCAAGCTGCTGGTGGCAAGGAAGCATGAACCTGTAAACGCATGCTTCCCTTTTCCACTGCAAAAGCTCTGTCACCACTGGCAGACAAAGAAAAAGTCTAATGGCTACACAGGCAGGCACCTTTATAATTTTCATATCTCAAAATTATGGCATTTCCAATAAAGTCTGCTTTTGAATCACCATTTACTTCTACAGTTCACTTAGTTTCACAGCAGTCTCTACCTCCCACTGTTAACTCTTAAAAGAAGCCTTTCAAAGGTCAACCCAAACTGTTAGGATTCTAGATGGTAAAACTGAATTTTTCATGTCTACTTGTTCTTCTGAAAGGCTTAAAAGCAATTTGTGGCAATCAGCACAAAGGGATTTGATTGACAAACTTTAACAAAGTGATCTAGAGAAGATTCATTGGGAAAAAAACTGCTAAAATTGCAAATTAAATGGCAAATAGTTTTTCTCTGTCTGCCCTTGAAGGAAAATAGGTTCTCTTCTTAGACGTGAAAATTTTGAATTCGGGAGGGAAAAAGAGGAATTTGGCTGGGTTTTTTTTGTATTTTATTTTTAAACCTCTAGTATTGTGTTAGACTGATAGCAACCAGCATAGTTAGAAGATTTATTTCTTTACTATCCTGATGGTGCAAATTATTTTGTATGCTACTGCCACTACTGCAAAGCCTTTGCTTTAGTCCTCAGACAATCCTATTACCCAAGTCAAAGTAACTCATTTTTCACCTACTTTAAGTCAGTTCTGAAATTCATATACAGGGCAAGAGCAGGATAAAGCTTTTGTCTGTTTGAAAGTACAGCATAACTGATAGATTTTACATTTTTGTAATGGTGCTTCAACCTCATATACCCATTTGCTTGTTTAATTTTTAAGTATTATTCTGATTTTTTTGCCTTTACAACATTCTTCTGTGACTTCAAATTACTGTTGCCTGCAAATATAACTAATGTGTTAATCTTCTCAACTTTCAAATCACTCACATGACATAAACCCACTCAAAACCATTTATATTTTGATCTACAAAAACCTACTACATTTTTTTACTAACAAGTTCAGGTTTTTTAAAATTATATTTATGTCTGTGAAAATTTTCCAATCTCCTACTCTACTCAAAGCTATTCTAACATTATGGCGATTTTATGTAATTAAATTATTTTCCTGTCTGGTAACTTACTGTAGTTTACATACTTTTGTATTTATTGGAGACATACCAGAAAAAAAAAAAAAGCATTTGAAATGCCAACAAACAAAATTTAACACAGAAAACTCAGAATTCATTAATGATAAAATATGTAGTTATGAAAGACTGCACAAAACTCATTCACTCACTGAATCACTACAGAGACTGAGGGATTTATGCAAGGTGCAATACATCCAAAACAATACAGCTCAGTTCAACACACCACATCTCACTGCATTAGTAGCACTTGTAAACTAAACCTACAGCTAAGCCATCTCAGCTCATTTACTCTTTATAAAATTACCTTTTCTCTTCAGAGCAGCTATCTTTGCCAAAGGACAAAGGGTTTATGTGGGCAAACCTACAGTATTAATCTACACATTAAGCACCTATTCTGGCAATAATAAATATGAAGGTCCAGAATTACCCATTACAGACCGTAAACATGCTTGTTTACTTATTAGGATCTTTATAAAGCCACCATACAAACAATTTGTGTTTAAGAAAAGTCCAAGATATGATTCAGTTACTTCTTTGCAGGCTGACCAAAATATTTTCTATTAGTTTTGCAGTGACCTTTGTTATATGTTATTCTAGTGTCGGGGATACACATTTTAAAACTCCTCTTGACAATGTGATTAGAACTGTTACTATATGATTAAAACTATATGATTAAGCTCATTAAAACCAATGATGAAAGTTTCTTTAGATAATCTAGCATGTGGATTAATTTTATGATTGACATTTGTTTGCTCAAGAAGGTTTTTTTATTCATCAAAGACTCAGGTAATGAAAAATCTTTACATCTTTTAATTACACATTCCTGATAATATCAGCCTCAATTTCTGCATAGTTGCAATTTAGAATAAAACATGTTTTAATTCACTTCTTCTAAAGCGCAGTAAAGATTTCATCAGGTATTAGTGGCAAACACCACCAGTCCAAACCTACTTGGATGTTTCTTTTCAATAACGTGACTAGTAAGAATTGCCATGCGTAACAAATTTTTCTTTTGCTTTCTCTGTGTTTGTGTAGATGTCGAACAAAAAATTTAATGACTGCGCAAATGGTTTTTAAAATACCCTCAAAATTGAAAGATAACTTTTTTTAAAAGCAACTGCTGCTCAGACTACTGCTCATATTCTACACTCGGTGAGCTGACCCTTGCAAGATTTCACATATCTGTCTCACAAACTGTTAATGACAGATAAAACACACCGCTGCAAAGAGTCTGCCCTGAGGTGACCCAGCAGCAGTCAGGCTGCTGCTCAGGCAGGCCTGGGCTCTGCTGGGCACTCAGAACCAGCCTCAGACCCTGTGCAGGCAGGCCTGGGCTCTGCTGGGCACTCAGAACCAGCCTCAGACCCTGTGCAGGCAGGCCTGGGCTCTGCTGGGCACTCAGAACCAGCCTCAGACCCTGTGCAGGCAGGCCTGGGCTCTGCTGGGCACTCAGAACCAGCCTGGGCTCTGCTGGGCACTCAGAACCAGCCTCAGACCCTGTGCAGGCAGGCCTGGGCTCTGCTGGGCACTCAGAACCAGCCTCAGATCCTGTGCAGGCAGGCCTGGGCTCTGCTGGGCACTCAGAACCAGCCTGGGCTCTGCTGGGCCCTCAGAACCAGCCTCAGACCCTGTGTGCCCGTGGCCCTGGGCTCTGCTGGGCACTCAGCACCAGTCTGGGCTCTGCTGGGCACTCAGAACCAGCCTCAGACCCTGTGTGCCCGTGGCCCTGGGCACTCAGAACCAGCCTGGGCTCTGCTGGGCACTCAGCACCAGCCTGGGCTCTGCTGGGCCCTCAGAACCAGCCTCAGACCCTGTGTGCCCGTGGCCCTGGGCTCTGCTGGGCACTCAGCACCAGCCTGGGCTCTGCTGGGCCCTCAGAACCAGCCTCAGACCCTGTGTGCCCGTGGCCCTGGGCTCTGCTGGGCACTCAGCACCAGCCTGGGCTCTGCTGGGCACTCAGAACCAGCCTCAGACCCTGTGTGCCCGTGGCCCTGGGCACTCAGAACCAGCCTGGGCTCTGCTGGGCACTCAGCACCAGCCTGGGCTCTGCTGGGCACTCAGAACCAGCCTCAGACCCTGTGTGCCCGTGGCCCTGGGCTCTGCTGGGCACTCAGCACCAGTCTGGGCTCTGCTGGGCACTCAGAACCAGCCTCAGACCCTGTGTGCCCGTGGCCCTGGGCACTCAGAACCAGCCTGGGCTCTGCTGGGCACTCAGCACCAGCCTGGGCTCTGCTGGGCCCTCAGAACCAGCCTCAGACCCTGTGTGCCCGTGGCCCTGGGCTCTGCTGGGCACTCAGCACCAGCCTGGGCTCTGCTGGGCACTCAGAACCAGCCTCAGACCCTGTGCAGGCAGGCCTGGGCTCTGCTGGGCCCTCAGAACCAGCCTCAGACCCTGTGTGCCCGTGGCCCTGGGCTCTGCTGGGCACTCAGCACCAGCCTGGGCTCTGCTGGGCACTCAGAACCACCCTCAGACCCTGTGTGCCCGTGGCCCTGGGCTCTGCTGGGCACTCAGAACCAGCCTCAGGCTCTGCTGGGCACTCAGAACCAGCCTCAGACCCTGTGTGCCCGTGGCCCTGGGCTCTGCTGGGCACTCAGAACCTGCCTCAGGCTCTGCTGGGCCCTCAGAACCAGCCTCAGGCCCTGTTCGCTGGCAGCCCTGGCCTGGCTCAGAGTTCCATGGAGCCCCACGTACCTCCTCATGCAATCCAGCGCCCGGATGAAGAAGTCTTTGTGCAGCTGGTGCCTGTCCCTCAGGATGGAGCACTGCTCCAGCGTCACTGACATGGATGTCCTGTCTTTGGCACTCTTGCAGCAGGTGAAGCGCACTCCGTTCAGCTTGCGGCAAATCTGAAACACGGGCAGGCCCCACAGGTCAGCTCTTCCTTCCTACCAGGCTGCGCAGCCCTACAGCTCTGCAAGCCCAGCGAGGGCTTCCAGACAGCTACAGCACTTCTCAAGAAGAAAACACCTTCTGGAAGTTAGTACCAGTACACTGAATTCCTGAATTTGACATGGGACTTTCATAACTATAAAAGAAACAGTTCCTTCACTGTTTCCTCACTGAATGCAGCAGCTGCCCTGTTCAATGAAAGCTAAATTGTCTGAATATCTGATGAATGAAGATATGGTGAGTCTTAACTCACAAACATGAATGTAGCAGACTAACTTCTTGTGAAGGTATGGAGTCAGACACATCTAACTTACATAGTTTTTATTTTCAACAGGTGAACTGTTCAATGTATGGCTCACAATTAATAAAGTTTAACAAATTGCTGCCATGGATTGTCTACTTTCACTTATACTTTGAAAAAGTTATAACACATAAAGGAAACATGACATTTTGGAGGATGATTCTTCCTCTTAGGAATCAATCTGTGGTTGTATCATTCCATTAGTTTATACTATGGTTTCAAATGATATTTTACTAGAAAAAGAAAAATTGAAGGAGAGCTTCTGTGCCCAAATCTACCATTTCCCAGATATAACCTGTCCTGAGAAAAGGTAATACTTTGCTTACACCTATCCCTGGGGAATCACAGGTGTAATGGTACAAAACCTCAAAATGTTTGTGAGAATGCAGCAAGGCAATAAACTACAGCAGGAATCACAAAAAGAAACTTCCCGCATTGGCTATCATGGGAGAGCTCGCAGGATGAACTGGAACATGAACTGAAACATGACCAGTGTCAGTCCAGCAAATAAGTGTTTCTTCATCTAATGCTAATTGCATTCTTAGAAATTCTATTAAACAATAAATACTATTAAATTCTATAAAAATCAAAAATTACTTAGAGCCTTTAAGTTCTTTGTGATACCATGGTGAGGACAATCTCAAAAGTTTAATTTAGGGAACCAATTAAGGGAATCTTACTTAGAATCCAAAGAGGTACAGGATAGTGAAGGAGAACCTATGAGTGTTTCTTCCATCATATAATTGAAAATTTTAAAAGTTAAATCTGTTTAAAAATTTGAACAGTTGCACTGGGATTTAAAACAAGTACTATATGATAATCTGCTTAAATAATTATGTGAAAGAACTGTTTCATTGAAGAGATTAATTCTCTTTGCACTAGTATCTTTGGAAGCCCCCGATTCATTGGGGCTATTCGATGTGAATGAGTCCTAAAAAAATTTTAAAATATTAAAAAATCATTTATAAAATAAAGTAAAAAAATCCCAGGTAATTATTCTGGATGAGTGATGGGCTCATATGTGGAATCTTGTACTTCCACTGCAATAAAAAAGTGATATTGCACAGCTACTGCACTGACAAAGTTTTCTTCTTACATCTTTTTCAATAAATAAATGGAATATAGAATAACAGTGTGTAGATCACTAGGACCAGAAATACACATTTCAGAAAGTTAAAGTAAGGGAACCAAGCAATCATGTCCCACATCATACCTCAAGGACACTAAAAAATTATTTTGAGTAATTTTATATTATCAAAGAATGGATATCAAACAAATCACTCAAATTCTAGCAGGTTCTACCAGTTTAAAAAGTGAGAAAAAGAAATTGTCTGCAAAAAACTATTACAGCACATCTGCCTTCTTTAACCAGTGAGTTTTCCAGTCATTTCCTTAAAATCCATTGCAGTTACAAAGTCAGCAAGCTTATGAAAATGAGTTTATGGTTAGTTCATCAATTTCTTTGAAACAAGAGAGCTCACCGTTGCAGCCAGCCACATGATTTCTACATTCTTTCTCTTTTTGGCCTGGATATTTTGATGAAGACTTTCTAGCAATCCCTTTAAATCATTTTGTTCTTGAAAATGTGGTAAACCTGGGAAAAAAGGACGAAAAAAGTTGCTCATTTTGATAAGGTTGGTCATATGATTGTCCCGACTAAAGAATGCTCATGGTAAAGAACAGGTCTATTATTTACAGCCTTGTTTTGGAACACAGGATAGAAATTACCAGCTAAATATTTAAGGAATAAGCAAACCTTATGTCTTTTGAGTATTGCCTTGTCCTCCCTAAGATCTTCACGTGGAAATTTGAAGTATCTTCAACCTTTATCTTATAAATGGATGGTGAAAAACAAAACCAAATCTCTGCTGTAGTTCTGTTCATCAGCTATTACAGACATTCAAAAGAAATCAGAAAAATAAAAAAAAAACTGAGTGTATTACAACCTGCTTTGATGGGATGATTATTTTTTAAAATTAAAGTAAAAAATTAGGGTTTTGTTTTCAAATTGAAACATCTAGTTTTTGTTTTAAAATATGCCTTAGATTTTTCTATAATGTAAGATAAGGGTTAAACAGCACTTAGTATCCCCTCTAAAAAGTAACAAAGTATATTTCTCCTGAAATTAAGTGGGGCTTTATTTTGAAGTAGAAAATAATTTCAAGTTTGCTTAAAATCCAAAAATTTACCTGCTTGTTCTGGGTATGGAATTTAAGTTGAAGTTTAATTTATCCTACATCTCCAGCAAAAATTCAAGAGTAGGCAATTTAATTTCCCCCTCTGTTTCATATGTATATAGAGGAGGGATTTTTCTAATGTTGCATTTATCCTTGCTAGTTCTGAAAATCAATAAAAACATGCAGAATCTGTTTTTTGAAATTATTTCTTCTCATGGTGGCAAAGTAAAAAGAATTTAAATCATAGTTATCACCAAATAAAGGGGCCAGAATCAAGTGGAACAAAGTGAAACTAAATTGATCAATGGATTTCTTCAAGCAGAGAAAGTAAATTATCCATCCAGTGAGGGGAAAAAACCCCACAACCCAAGCCCCAAACCCAAGCCCAAAAACTTATACTCAATTGGAAGAAAAAAAATGAGGGAAGTATTAATGAAGGTCAATATCCATTCTCCTAACGTGATCCAAGTTGGAATGATCCCTCTCATCAACAGGCTTTTACCTTTTACATCTAATAAATTTTGTAGTTTCCCTTATCCATGATTCATAGGAAGAAGTACTTTAAATCTATTCAAAAAGAACTAAGTTGCTCCAGTCATACTGTGCTGTCTAAAAAAACTCACAAACAAACAAGAAAAAAAGAAAAAGGGAGGAAAACATACATCCAGAATCTGTTTTGCAATAATTTTAATGTGGATTGTTTTACCTCTGTATCACAAGCTCTGATTGTACATTAGATAATGTAGAGCACATAAAACCACATCACACTCTGCTAGACTATTACACTTATGGGTGCATCTGTTTCTTTAAAACAGAGAGCACAAAATGGCAAAGATGCTTTGAGATGATGCAAATGTATCACTAAACATTCTATTGCTCCCAGTAGCTTTCCTTTGGGTCACAGCAGAAAACGTGACATCTCAGAGGGATGACTTCAGCACAGGTACAGCAAGAGTCTCCTAATTCACAGTACTGCCAAAGGGGTTGCACCTTGACTGGAAATGATCAATGGCCTAAACTCCTTGGGTCCCCCACAGTACCAAACCACCAAATCAGGCTGATAAGGGGGAGAAGCCTGGAAATACCAAACAGCCTTTTTGTTTTCAGGTACTTACGTACTACTAAACAACTATCTTACGTTTTTGGACCCTTACTGTCTTAGTATTTCTATAAAAGCAGTACCATTTTGAGCTATATTTGGTCAGCATTTTTGGTAGGAACCTTGCTGGAAACATGCTCTTATTTTCAGTTTCTGCTAAAAGAATTTAAGAGGTTAACAAATGGGTAAATGACGAAGTGTATGTTCATCCTAAAGACAGAAAGTCAGTGGATGCTTAGTTACAAGCAAGACTATTATTGCCAAGGAGAAATACAGACACAAGAGGAAAACTAACAGCGAAGGTGGCAATACCTTTCAGGGAGTGGGAAATTGAATTCTTTGAAAGGGAATATATGAATGAGGCAGCAGGCCAGGGAGGCTGCCAAGGGTGGATCCAACAGCCTGGCAAATAGGGCTGCAAATGCTCAAATTCTGTTGGGCTTTTTGAGCACTGTTTGGAACTGACAGCTTTGGGAACACAGTCCTGCATTGATTTTGTAGCACAGATTTGGCATTATAGGAAATTATCTGGATAGGTGGGACAAAACCATCAAAAAGCCATCAATATTGAATGCCTCTCACGTGGCCCCAGCACCAGGGTTGCTGCCAGCCTTGTATGGAGGTTTGTCTTCCAGACGAGGGGGAACAGGAGTGGGATTAAGTCCTGCCACAAATGAACAAGTTTGAGAGCTTCCCTTTTTTCCCAGGGGGCTGGTTTAAAAGGCACATTTCTCCAAGGCAAAAGACTGACTCTGTATACTGGCAGGGAGCTACTGGGAAGGGCAGTGGAACCAAAAGATGCTTTATGTTCCACAAAAAATTGTATAAAGAAGAGACTGAGTTCTTAAAGGTAAAGAAAAAAAGCAAGAAAGTTATAATAACCAGAAAATACACGATGAACTAGACACAATTAGTTCTCAAAAGCCTTCACAGTCTGAAAGAAGTCCAGGAACTGTGTGGCTCACTAATAATCCTTCAGGAAGGCAGTACAAGTTTAAATTGTGTTAATGAAAAGTAGCCAATACTGTCTGCATGCAAATTTTTGCTTTTATAAAATAAAATCCATTTATGAGGTAGCAGATCTACCTTAGTCCTAACCTGCATGAGGTTAGTTTTTCGAGGATGTTTTCTTAGCAAGATTCCCCTCAATTAATCACCCAACTTATTGTATGAGTTTCTCTGTAGACATCCTGGAAATAAATACTAGGTCTGTGGGGGGATGGATGGGCATCCTGCCCATCATTTAGGAAGGGCTTTTGTTTCTGTCAAAATGATTAACAAATTAAAATCATCCTGATATAAGAGATAAACATGTATACATACGCATGTGATGTATTAAAGTTTTACATAGCATTTAAACATCAGGCAGTTAAATCTCCCACATTTGGGACTATAGTTTGGGCATTAAAACTAACAGGATTCGATTGATGCAGATGTTTTCTTCAGTCCTTGCTTCTGGCAATCAGAGTAACAGCATAGTAATGCTTATGTTTATAATACAGAAGTTCTATAGAAGTGGAATACAGGGCCTATTCCAATGAAACCTTGTCGTTCATATAATGATGATGCGGCTCATTGCTTGTATTTGATCTGCAGATTTCTCCATGGTTCACCAAACCTCAACATATTTTCAGAATAAGAACAGAGGGTATGACTGAAGCTGATGAAATTGCCCACCAAGTATTTATGTAAAAATACAGTAGGTACAGACTGTCCTCTACATGAAATATTAACAAACTTATTATTTTAATAACTTAAAATAGCTGTTCAGTTCATCATTCCTCTGTTTCATTTTCTCTGTAGTTTCTGCTGTGGCACAAGGCCTGAAATCACTCCTGAGACCAGCAGGGTCATGTACAGGTACAAAATGTTTAAATTTATGGAACAAGTTATGGGATTCTGCTAATATTACTGTCTTATAACCTTCTACCTACTCAAAGCTTTTCAAACCGATTTGGACATTGCATTATTTTGTACTCACAATCAGGAGGCATTTTTTCTGTAAATAACTTGTAATATTCTTTGAGAAGCTCTAAGTTTTCCTGGTTAATGTTTTCCTGCAAAGTGGTATCTCCAAACCTATGAAAATACACAATAAATTATGAAAAAAACCCAAAACCCACAAACAACAACAAAAGATAAATTATCCTTCATAGTTATTTCTTTGCATAAAGAAATAACTTTGGTGCTAAATGCATTAGATTTTGTCAAACATGCAGTAGTTAAGTTCTTGTATGCTTTGGAATTAATTTTTGGAAACGAGATCATCGCTGATGCATACTTCTTCCAAAACTTTATTAACAAAGCAATCTATTTACAAACATGCAATAAGGCACTTATTCTTTTCCCCTCACAAATCGTGAATAAATGGAAAGGCACTTTGGGGGAATTCCAATTCCAAAAATTGGGTACCACAGGCAGAGAACACCAACTCTCCATCTCTTAGTGCTGCTACTGCTTAAGCATACCAATTTCTGTAAGAGCTGGATAATATGGAAGTGACACAAGATGGAAGAGAAGCTTATCTACAAAATAACTGTAGCTATAAAAACAAATATCTTTCTCTCTGAGACCAAGATTTCTACAACAGCCACATTTCACATGCCAAGAAACTAAATCTCACGGTACTACAGGAGATATGATTGTAAAGACACGAATGTCCCCATGACAATTAGGGCCAAAGTTTTGAAATTCATCTTCAGAATAGATTTGAAACGGGAATGGAGGAGTACAGGAAGAGAGGCATGGGCAGATAAGTGAGAAACTCAGAGAGAAGGGGACACAGATCAGAAGATACCAAATATGCTGCTAAATTGGGAACAAGGGAAGCAAATATTTCAACAGGCCACAGGGAGAAGATGTAACTACTTCCTTAGTAGCCATTGCTGCACTGTCACATGAGAACATTTCTTTTAAATCGGAAACATTCTCAAGTGTATTCTATCAAAAAACAAATTAAAAGATTTTTTTTCTAATACAGTAACATTTCCTAGAAATTTGCCACGAAAGTGTTTTTATATTCTCAGGTTCTTTATCCCACAAACCCCTCCATGTTTTTAGCCATAAATCGTGTGTGGTGTTTTCAGTCTCAAAAACAAATGTACAACTTTAGGAGTTAAGCAGCATTTTGAATTAAGACAAAAGCAGACTGTAACTGCATGCATTAAAGCTGCTTCTGCATTGAACTTATTTTCTTGGCAGATATTAGTACATATCCATATTTATAAATATGCAGTTATTTTGTTTTCTCCTATGGCTTTCTTTGCACACAATGTAAAATGACCACTGGGAACAACACTTCCTGCCACTTCACTTGCAAGCCAGGCATCTTTTCATACCAACTCCTCTACAAGCCCCCAGGTAATCAGGCTATTTCTAAATGTTGTCAAATTTTTCCTCAGACTATTCATAACTCAGTCCTTCCTGCCTATCTCACTCGTGTAAGCTCCCACCAGCCTGCTTCTTGCTTACCACATCATGTCTTACCTCTTATTTTTTGAGTGTCCCACTCAGAACTGTCATGACTGATTTTGTTGGTTTTGCACATTATGAGTTTGGCCACGTCACTCCTCTCAGCACTTTTCTCTTTATGTCATCAGAATAACCTATTTTCATTTTCAAGAAGTTTCCAAGTTCTCTAACCAGCTATCCAGCTCTTTCACAGTAAAATGCCAGATTTTACTGTCTTTAGATTCAGTCTATGTCTCCCATTTCAACTTTCTGCCTAAATTTTCTCACATACCACCACTCAACTTGGAGAAGTGTCCCATAAACATTCACAAAGCTACCTGATGACATTCTTTAGTAGACTTCTTTAAAAGACTGGGTTTACTTGGCTGTCTACAGTGAACAGGAGATAAAATCCTGTGGTGTTTAACTTCTTGCCTATTACCCAGGTTAAGGATTTTCACTGTCTCCCTCCATTACTCCAGCTACAGCTTTGCTATAAGCTTTTGGCTTAGAGCAAATGCAACCTCAAGATAAGCATTAGGTATTTTGGACGCTCTGTTAATAAAAGCAGCTAAAAGAAAAGAAGTTTTAACAAAGTAGCTGTCTGTATTGACATCTTGACTTCTACTTTGCAGTTTTAGCCCTGCACAAATGTGGTAATTTAACATGACTGACAGATACCCTTCTCTTGGAAGAGAAAATTAATACGTTGGTGAATCCATGACTATTATTATACTAATTAATTAGTTTCCAGCAATCTGTTGCAGAGGAGTACTAATTTCTCTAGCTTATCACTTGTTTGGTCTCTTCAAACCCATCTTCAAGATGTAAGAATTTTGAATTTTCAAACTTGTGTGAGAATTTCAGAGTACTGCATACAACCAAAATTCTGCATCTGAAATAGAAATCCATTTTGCACCTGTATCCAAGAGAAACATGGCACCAACTCTGTGAAACGGAGCCCTGCTTATGATCTTATCTTCATCTGGACTTTTTCACTGTTCTACATTGCTTCATAGCTTGTGTTTATTTCCTTTAATACCTTTGAAAATACACACTGAGTCAATGTGAGATTGTCTAAGAGCAAATAACAAAGAAGATTTGTTTCTAATCCTGAGAGATAGCCTGTACCAGCATGGAGTACTTGGACAGAAAATGCAACGTGACTTTTCCTTACCTCTCTGCCAGTGTTTGCTGCTCATTGATTCCAACATTAAAGAGCACTGGATACATGCGAAGCAGCTTTCCCTCTTTAATCTCTTGTGGCAGCAGCTCAAACATCTTTGCTGGGAGCTGGACCTCTATAATGTAATGTTCACTAGGAACAATGAAAACAAGAGTGAGGATGGGGTTCTTGAATGTCAGGAAAAGTTTCTTCAGCCAGAGAATGGTTGAGCAGGTTGAACTGGCTCCCCTGGGAAGTGTCACAGCACCAAGCCTCACAGAGTTCAAGAAGCATCTGAACTCTCAGGCACGGGGTGTGATTCTTGGGAAGCCCTGTGCAAGGCCAGGAGTTGCACTTGATGATGCATATGGGTCCCTTCTAACTCAAAATATTCTGTGATTCTGTAAAGAATGTTCCAAAAGCGCCTCTAATAAAAGAATGGCCTCTAATAAAAGCATGTGAGCTCCTGAACAGAATTTCACCTCCCCTGGGTGGCTGGTGTCTACCACCCACACCAGATGATCAGTGCACTGCTAGACAGTGCCACACACTTTGGATTGATTTGTTTGTGCACACAGAATGTCAGGTTTAAGCACTTTCCTAGAAAAAACAATTACAAGTAAATATGCTGACTCTTCAAGATAAGAATTTGTAGTTTGATTTTTCTGTCTTGCATTTCTACAGTCTTTCACTCTCATTTATTGAGCCATACCATATAACAACCAAAATAAAAATGGAGGGTTTCTAAAAAAATTATTAGAAAATAACTAGATTTTCACCTTTTCATCTTTTCTTTTTACGGTTCACTTCCAATGCTGTTTGATAGGAGCAGTCTTATCACAGCTCTAAGAGGAATGGCACTCCTCCACATAAACCTTGTAGATTTTATTTTTAAATTTTTTTTAATTTTAATTATTCCCAATGTATTGCCTATCATATTCCAGCCTTCCTGTTATTTATTCAATCCCTTCTCAGAAAGCCCATATGATGAGAGTGAATCATCCAGATTAATTAAGTAAATCAGTGGTGAAAGCCCCCTTCAGAGGAAACATATATTTTCTAAAAGTTCCTGCTTTTAGCTGAATTTAATTTACAGTCATCTTAAGAGCAATGATACTATTAAGGAAGTGATTTTTGCAAAATAAAACTATTTGGAGCTTCAGACTAGAATAATAATAAAGATGAAAAATCCATTCCAATCTTGTTAACCCTCAAATAGCCAAAATAAACGGAGTATTGCAGTTTATGTCCTGACATTCAGCAGTACTCACGTGAGATTCATAAAGGATAAGTGATTTTGTGCAAGGATTTCTGAGACTGCCTATGTCCTGTGTGATTTTCAGCAGCTAAAAAAGGCTTCCATTTTTAAAAGTGACTACTAAGTTTTTAATACTAAGTGGCATCGGAGTTTTTTGGTTTCCATCTTAAAAACAATCAAGGCCTAACTCTTGGAACTGCAGTTTCATTTCTCATGCTGAAATACAAATTCAGGACATTCAAAAGCAAAGTTTCTCAGTTAGAGACCACATTTGTAAACAATGGCCTTGTCACTTGTCCAGGGTTCAGTATCCATGTGTGAATAATGCACCAGCAGCTCTGCACAACACAGACGCTGCTCAGATTAATCTGTATTAGTAACTGGAACTTCAGCTTTTTATCAGGAGAGTAACCCAGAGCCTACTGGCTTTTAGAATCCCTACTAACTCACCTTCTAAAAAGTAAAACAATGCACTTTCAATAAAACAGAACTCAGCAACAAGAAAACCATTAGACGGGTTTCATGGGCTACAGATTAAAACTGCAGCTCAGTTTCCTGGGCTCCAAGAAACAAAGTTCTTACCGCCTTCCACTTATAATAGGCAAAAAATCTTCTGACTTGGCTTCAATTACTCTAAACATTACTTTCTGCAAATCTGAAATGCCCACAGCCATGTCTTCGAGCATCCCTGCTTCTTCACCTACATGAAAAGATTAAAGAGACTATTAACAGAGTTGGCAGATCAGTCACTGTATAGGTCAGGGCAAAGCAATATATTTTCCAGTCTGTGCATCTAAAAATCACAGTTCTAAATCCACATTACAGTAACCTACATAAAACCAGACTCATTTCTTGAACTGCTGACAATTTTGTGCCCTAAATGGTAACCATGAGTATTAAGCAATTCTGAAAATCAGCCTGCTCTATATAGACATAAAATAACCTCAGAAAAGCCATTTTTGTCTATTCTGAAAGTTTTCAAAAGGCTTTCCTGCTGATGGAGGACAAAGGTTTTGAGAATAAAAACAAGCATCATGTAAAATGGAGAAGACAGCTATCTCCAAATGAGCAACTGCATAATAAAGCTGCACAAATGCTAAATTCCTCTACTTTAGTCAAAATCCCTGATTCAGGGAATGATTCCAATAGATCTAGTTCAAAGTT